TGCCATAAAAGGCTGAAGCTGTTTCTTTTCTTCCTCTTCTTTTCTTCCTCTCTTTTCTTCTTTTCATCCTGTCTCCTGGGCCCCCTGGAAGGTCTTCCCTCATCAGGTTGATGTAACATCTCTTGTGGGGTTTTTTTTTTGTCCCTTTATGGCTCCATCTGTGATCCCTGCTCCAGCTGTCCTGTCCTTCTGCAGTCACTTGCTTTATATTCTCCTCAGTGACCCTGCTAACCGTTCCCTTTGACCGCCAAGGTGTCTTCACAGCCTCTATTTTCTGTGCAGAAATAGGCTCCTTTGCCTATTTTTTCCCTTTAGACCCTGTTTGCCAATGTGAAGATGCTTCTTTTCCCCTCTACCATCTTGGGCCCCTCCAGTGGTGGGGCTGCCAAATTTGTGTCCTGTAACTCCGTCTCCACTTGGAACAGCCCTTCTGCTCCTCTGCACTGCCCCTGCACTGCATGCTGGTGGGATGCCCTGGCAGCACAGTGCTCTGGCTAGGCTGGCTGGTGAAGTGACCTGGGGGGACCTATTGAAGGCTGCTCCACCAGCCAGGTTACCTCCCTGTGTCAGGCAGTATTGCAACAATGAAAAGGAAGAAATGGTCATGATACAAGGAGTAAGTCCAGCGGGACAGAGGTGCATAGCTTCCCTGGGCCGTCTCAGTGTCACGCTGAGCTGTCCATACCATTGTTGCATCAATCTGAGAGCAGAATTGGGCTCATGGCATCCTCAAAATATTTGTACAGGAAACAGTGAAGCCTGCGCTAGTGTGTGCATGTTTCATGAAGCATTGCTGCCCTCTGCTGGGTATTTGCTCAGGGCCCCGTACCATCCCTTGGCTCCTTGCATTGTTTGCTAAGCGTTGCTGCTCTGTGAACAACGTGGCATGATGTTGTGGCCATTCATCCTCTCATGGAACGATGGGGTTCCTGCCATGTTGTGCAATGCTGCTGACAAAGTGCACCTGGCAGCGGCCCGCTCTGACTTCAGAGTCCGGGAATTGCCATGCTGGCTAAAAGCCCACCTCCCAGGATCCTAACTCTGTCCATACGTCACCCCACCAAGTCCCAGGACCTTCTTGTCTACCTCCCCAGGCCCTGGCAAATAATTCATCTACTATCTGCCAGACAAGGAAAGGGGGGGGGGGACCCAGGTGACTGTAGGGGGGGGTTTCTTTCCCTTGTCTGTGCACATTTCTGGATATTTTCACTAGGCAGCATCCACAGACTGCTTAGATATGTTTGAGGGGCAGTGGGCGCTAGCTGGTGTTCTCTGCCCAGTGTCCCTACCTGGAACTCTTGTTCTTATCCTTTGACCTGTTCCTATCTTTTCATCCTTTGTCCCAAGTATTCAATTGTTATGTATGTTGTCAGTGGCCTCCCTCTAACCACTGAAGGAGGCTTGTGATTGCCTGCATAACAAACAGGCCAGTCTCCAGCCACAGGCAGCACCAGGTATCAGAAGAAGGTATGAGAAACCCTGCAGTACCCAAATATAGGGCAGTCTGTCCCCCCAGAGAATCTCCTTCTGTAGGGCACCCCCCAAGCAAGAGATATCATCTCCCTTTTAAACTTTATTTCAGTGTTAATTCTGGGAACCTCTGGGTATCTTTTCTGTCCATGAAAACATCCAGCTGCTCTCTGACTCCTGGTACAATGGTGGTTTTGCCACAATGAGTTCTGCAGTCTAATGTTGCACCACACAAAGAAAACTTTCCTTTTATCACCTTGGAATATACTGCCTTTCAGTGTTATCTGCTGTCCTTGTTCTTTTGTTATCAGGCTGGGGACAGAGATGCTCCTGATCTGTCTCCTCTCAAGATCGTTGTAGGCAAGGCAGGTTGCTATTTTAAGGCTCAGTGTTCAGGTGTGTATAACTTTGCCAGATTTTAGCCATTTGGACTGTAATTTTCTTTGTTATGCATCTACTTCATGCTGATATTTTTCCCCAGCTGTATTCATGAATGAGGCTGGGGGAAAATACATTATTTTGACCATATGACAACATTCTGGCAACCTGTTCTGGAGCCTTCACAGCACCAGGTTGGAGCAGGTACTTCAACTTTCGAATGGAGTGGTCTCCATATCAGGGATGTCTCTCTTCCCATCCCCATGCAGATCCATCCATGGTCAAGTTATAAGCCTATGAAAAATCACCATGGTCAGTAGACTTACTTAGGCTACACAACCAAATTCCCTGAAGAGACTGTCCACAACAGCCATGCTTCAGCTGGGCACTAAGCAGGTCTTTTCCTTTCTTTGCAGCCATGGGCTGTGCTATGTCTGGTCACAGGACTTGAGAGCAAGCAGTTCATTTATCTTGTAATCTCAGAGTTTCCTGACTGGGCCTAGGCAATGCACAGGAACAAGCTGCAAATAAGAGATGAGCTTTGGGGTATGGGGGATGTTAAGAGTAGGTTTGGAGAGAGAAATAGGGACTGGAGCCTGGGGTGGGGGGGAATGGGACTTGGCATTTTTGGGGGAGATCGAACTGGTCAGACTGGAAATGGGAGCAGCAGGAAGTCTGAGCTGAGGAACTGGTAGGGGCTGAATGGACAGTCAGACTGGGTGTTGGTGTGGTGATGGAAATGGGAGGAGGTAGGGGCATGACTGAGATGAGGAGCTGGGGACTGTCTGGGCAGAGACAGAAACTGAGATCCAGTGAGTGAGAAAATAGGGAAGAAGGTGATAGGAGAGAGATCTCGTGAAGCGCTGGTGTAAAGGGGAGAAGTGGGACCAGCCAGGGAGAGAGGCTGGCACATGACCCAGAGGCCTTTGTGGGAAAGCTGAAGTTAGATAAAGAGCCTTCAGCAGAGACGGAGACAATGGACAGGAGTGGGGAGTAACTGGAAGTGGGTCAGGGGAGAGGCAGCTCGGATACAGATGCAGGAGGGCTCAGGTGGGCAAGGAGACTGGGAACAAGGAGTTGTTTGGTGAACTGGGAACTACTCTGCATGAAGATGGGTCCTGGGAGCAAGGGGGAGAGTGGGAATCAGGAAAGGGAAGACTAGGATATGCAAGGGAAGGAGACTGAGACTGCAGTGAGAGGGGCCTGGCTGGATGAGAATGGGTTGGGATTGAAAAGGTTAGGGGTGGGACTGGGACAGTGACAGAATTGGAAATGGTGGTCAGGCTTTGGGGACACAGACAGCTGGACCACTTGAGTGTACTCCCCCTGAATCCTAAAAGGGCACCAAGATTCCTGAGTCTCACCAGTCCTCTGCTGCCAGCAAGTTTCTGGCAGTGTCCCATCCCTCTCTAGCTGTGGTTTACTTGGAGGAGCTCAGCTAGGAGATCTGTGTGCTGGATCTTCAGGTTCCAGCCCCTGTGCCAGTATGACATGTGTCACATGGAGTCATGTGCTGGGGTTTCTTTCCACTTTGCTTTTTGAAGTCTTGGAAATGACACACACAAGCTTATGAACATCATTAAACTGAGCACTCCATGCCAGAAGGATGGTTGCCTGTGCAATTCTTATTCAGCCTATTTGGATTTGTGCATTATTGTACAGCCTTTAATTGCCTGCCTCTGTCAGTGCACGAGGTGAACCTGTCCTGGGGGTGAGTCAGTGGGGTTTGCAGTGCTGGCTGTTACTTCCAGGACTCCTGGCTTACTGGTTGCAGGAGGGGGAAGGAAAATAAAGCAGGGGTGTAGGAAAGGATGGTTTGATGCTTAAGCCAGTTGAATGCTGCCCAGGGAACTGGGTTCATCTTGCCACTGCCCAGGCTGCTGTGTGATACTAAGTTGCAGAAACCTGAGTTTATCAGGTGCTCCCTAACTGCATGGTCCTGTTTGTCCCCAAATGCTGACGTGCATAGAAGAACTGAGGATACTGTTCCTGCTCTGTCTCTGCGTCTCAGTTTCTCATGGGGAGGACAAGAGGCTCTCACATCACAAGGGGCCCCAAAAATACAAGTTATTGCATGCAAAGCATCTGCAACTACAAGGCTGAGTGCCATGGAAAAGCACTGGGGCAGAGGAACAATTCTTTCCCTCAGCACGGTTTGAATGATGGGCTGTCAGGGAAGACCGAAGCCAAACTGTTACTCTAAATTTTAACTGGGGTTGAGAATGAGACTGACCAGTGAGACTATTCCAGTCACAATTCAAAAACTTTATTAGGATACACAATAACAAAGACTTATTTGTATTAATGAAGACCGTGCTTAATACAGTAGCCATAGATTCAAGTGGAAAACAGGTCCACTGCCCAGCTTCTCTGTTTCCCTAGGGACATTTGCTGATTTGGTTCCTCTTTTTTTTTTGCTGAGCTGTGGAGAAGTCTGAAGTTGCAAAGCTGAGTATACACTTAATGCAGAGTTTTTCTGCATTTGGCTATGCTTTAGGGCTAGGCCAATCCTTTTCCACTTTATGTCCATGCACCTTTTCAATCACTGCCTACAGCACATGCTTAACCTACGTCATTGCTACATAGGTCAAGCTTAGGCCTGGCTGGGGTGGTTGTGACTGCAGTGGGGAGTAGGGTTGCCAACCCTCTTTGAATCTATTCTAGGAGGTTTCATCATGTGATGTAACGACATTAATAACTTTTACATCAGGAAGGCAAATGCACATACCTATTACATTAAAAAAAACAACCACTGGCCTACTATATAAATCACATTCAACATTTAGTTATTTATTGTAATGAATGCCCTGTCATTTATCTCCTGGGTGGCTCTCAGTAACCTCCTGGAGATTTATATCTAATTCCTGGAGATTCCAGGGCAATCCTAGAGGGTTGGCAACCCTAGTAGGGGGGGTAACTGCACTGTCCTTACTATCTCCTTGCCCAGAGGCTGCCCCAACCTGGCCCCAGCTCCTAGCCAAGA